TAGGATGTATTTGTTTAATATGGGTATCAAATTAAAGCTGTTCATGAATGCTTTAAGATAGAGCACTTTTCAAATAGCTGGGTGACTAGGGTCTCGAGATATAGACCAAAACGTGGACCTGGGTAACCTTGGGTGTATTTGTTTAATATGGGTATCAAATGAAAGCTGTTCATGAATGCTTTAAGATTGAGCACTTTTCATATAGCTGGGTGACTTGGGTCACGAGATACAGACCAAAACGTGGACCCGGGTAAACTTAGGCTGTATTTGTTTAATATCGGCATAAAATGAAAGCTGTTATGTCAAAAGTATGCGGAAGCAAATAAAAAAAAAATTAAAAAATTCATGAATACCGTTTTAGTGAAAAATAAAATTGAGTAATGCGGACAGTTCTTTAATCTTCTTTAATATAAAAATTAATATAAAAATAAGTAGGGTTTTCCTTCCTGACGCTATAACTCCAGAACGCACGAGCCGATTTTCACGGTTTTGCATTCGTTGGAGGTTTATAGCTAGGAAAATTCAGGAAAAATTTCAATAGAAAAGTATATGGTGTGTGAGTATCCCCCACGAAAATAAGTATGTTTCATTTAAAGTAGATGGTGCCATTGTTTAACAGCTATTCATTGTACTTTGCTCAGTTAATTTCATGTGACACTAGCGAATACCCGGCGTGCTTCGCTGCGCCTTAAAAGTAATTTTGTTTTGTTACTCCCTCTCACAACATTTGAAAATATTATTTAATATTGCTGTACATATTTGTATAGTAGGGAGATTTTTTCAAATTATATAAATATACGTTATTTGAATATTGAATCAATACACGTTTGAGGAAAGGGTGCGATAGTAGACTCCAGTTATTAGATTATAAATTAAATTTCCAAGAGAAAGTCGGTTCTTTACATATTTTCTAATTACCTTCGAAAATATATTAACTCAAAAAAAAAATAAACAATGCTTCATAGATCGATTTTTTTAAATCTAACTTCATAAAGTTCTTTAAAAATATTTTGTAAATGAGGCCATAAGAGCTTAGGGGGAGAGTTACAATACAAAAATACATTTAAGGCGCAGCGAAGCACGCCGGGTAATTGCTAGTATGTTATAAAGAAATGCATGAAATCGGCATATATTGACGGTTAATGTTGCGTTAGCAAAAGCCTCTATATAACGAAGTGTCGATTGGAAATCCCCTATATAGCAAATTCTGAATATATTGACTAGGTTGTTGTTTACAATATCAACATCTAAATTTTGTATGGGCGCTTTATTTTGTTAAACGGAAAAAACAAAGTCATGCACGAAAATTTCATAGTTAAAAAAACAAAATTAGGGGTCGCTGCCAGGATCGGAAATTATTTTTTTTTTTTGTAAATCACATAAATTTTGGTTTTTTACCAGCTACAACAAACACCATATAAATCCATATTTCAAATTTTTTACACAAATTTTCATCGAAATTCCATTTTTTATTCGCAATTTTTAGAATAAAATTATTAAAAATCAACGATATTAAACTTAAATTTAATGGGCTCTAACACTGCAAACCAACAATTTCTTTTCTGAATAAATAGTTTTAAATTTTGAGGAAAATTTTTTAAATTTATATAAATTTTGTACAAAGTTGTAAATGCGGATTTACTTATATGGTTTTGGTTGTACAACTAGCTAGACTTTTATAAAAAATATTTAACGTTAAGTAGACAAAATATTTCCAAAATTGGTTAAAACAAGGCCAGTCTATTATTTCTGCCAACAGTGTATTCTTAAAAGTATGTAAGTTCATAAATTCGCTGAGTTATAGTTGGTCAGAGTCAAAATTTTGTGGAATTTTTGCGATTTTTTTTTTTAAGTACGAAGTTGACTGCCAACTTTGTTTTTGCTTTCACATGCAAATTTTTCGTTAGGCGTACAGAACTTGCATTTTATTAGGTGTTCAAAAACATCAACAACATTGTCTTATACAAGTAATGTTGAAGATATCAGCGTTACAATAAAGGACTATTTTAGAAAATTGTCTAAATATGTATACATACGTATATGCATACATTTTTGAGCTATGCCCGAAATTCTTCTTAGCAAGTTGTGCGGTTTTTTAAAGCTCATTTCCTGAATAATTTGTATACGAAAGATTTTCAAATAAAGATAAGCCTTCTTAAGGGTCGGCAACGTGTTCCGAAAGTGCCGAAAACCCACTTTTTTTTGTAGTGAGATTTTTTTTTGCCCCAAATAATATATGCTTAGACTGCCTTTAAAACCTAAAAAAAAAAAATTAGAACGATATGTCTAAATTGTGCATACATACATACATATATATAAAAAAAAATATGAATTACGTAGATTTTCATTGAAAAAGTTCTTATATATATAATATATGACTTTATTTGCAAAAGATGTCGGAATTTGAGAAATTTTCTCGAGGTCCTTCCATATAAATCTTTATATCTCGTAACAGAATGTTACATAAAGAAAATATAAATACCCATTTTACAGCGAAGGGATCGTTTGAAACAGAGCCTAGAGTTTTCAATAGGTAAGACAATTTTGAAAAAAAAAAACACCAAACAAAATACACGCTGATACACGAATTAAAAAAAAAGTTGCATTATTGTTTGTATTGAGGTGTTGATAACTAGGTATAGCATTTGTTCAACCTCTTCAACTTCGTTGTATCGAGGTTTCACTGTTTATAATTTATATATGTATCTATGTGCATACGTATACTTACATACATATATACATATGTACATATATCTAAAATATCCTAAAGGCTCACATTTTATGCATTGTGTGTGAGTCTTTCTTACAAATGTGCGTTTTATACGAATCTATGTATGTATTTACTTATTTATAAGCGTATGTATGTATGTATGTGTGTCACATGGCAGATTTTTACTACTGACTGTCCTGCAGTTAAACGAAAAATAAACTATAGAGAGATAAATACAATATATGTAGCAGCGAAAAAAAATTCAACTATATTAATTTTTGTTATTTTGTCATTATAATAACGAAAATCTTATGTGGTGCATTCGTATGCCTCGCATAGATTTGGCTACATGCCAGAAAGTGGCGTATTGCCAAGTTTCATCAAAATTAAATTCCACAGTTGGTGCAGTAGTGAGCGTGCACTACTTAAAGTAGAAAATAAATAGTTAATGAATTTTTGTATAGATCCATGAATACAATGTAATAGCAGAGGCATAGATTTAGTGATAGATATTTTCACTGATAGGTCTTCTATTTGGCTCTTCGCCATGTCCTAGCATTGAATGCATTAAGACCACGCTAGCTCAGGGTGCTATCTTTAAAAGTTGTTTTTTCTTATGGAAGTTGTTCGCAGTAAGTTCTTGAGTTTTGTGTATGAAGTAATTAATTTTATTTAATCGTTTTGCATCAAGCTTAGAGGCCATCACAGAGTCAATTTAGACTATTAAGGGCTGGTTACTCAATGTCTGGTTAGCACTATTCTTGGGTTAAACATCGTTATCGACTCCATGTTATACATATATATGGAGTCGAAGGCGGCAATAGCGTAAATAAAATTTAAAATTCAGGTGAGGTAGGTTGTAAGGAATTACCATTTATTTCGTATCGGTCTTTAAGAGGCGTCTATGTATGTATTTCAAATCGTGGAGATGTAGTGCTCAATTTCTGCCATTTGTCTGAGGACAAAGTAGAAGTCAATGGGAAAATATCAAAAAAAAAAATTTATGTAATTTACAAATGTGCTAAATAAACGAAAGTCCAGTTTTTAAATGAAAAAAAAATAATAATAATTCCGAAAATTGTTTAATGGCCAAAAATTTATGTCCAAGATTTAAATTTAAAAAAATATGACGTTTCAAATAACATACATACAAAAAAATTTTACCGTTTTTAAATGACCCAAAATGCAAGGCAATTTTTGAATGACCATAAATTATTACAGTTCTTAAATTAGAAAAAATATATGCCGTTTTTAATTTCAAACAAAAACTTGTGTTCAGTTTTTAAATTATCAATAGCTTATGAGCATTTCTTAATAGCCAAAAATAGTTGTCCAATTTTTTCATTATAAAAAATAGACGCCATTATAAATTATATAAAAATAAATTTGGTATAGTTTTTAAATAATTTATGTCCAATTATTGATGGCTAAAAATGTATGTCCAGGTTTTAAATTACCAAAAATTTCCGCATAGGTTTTAAATAAAAAAAAAATATGTCTGGATTTTGAATTACCGAAAATTTATGTCCATTTTTTTATAAACGAAAAAATTATATCCGATTTTACAATTGTCAATAAACTATGTACGGTTAAAAACGTATGGCCTACATATTATTTACAGTTTTTACTTATGTACAAATGGTTAGGTTAATAGGCATAAGGTTTTTTTTTTAAGATTTTTCAACACAAAATTACAAATGCATGTTGTGCCTGCCGAAGGTCAACTGCTATTAGAAGAAAACTTATTTAAAAATTTAAACTGTATGGCAATTTTTTAATGGCTACAAATGTAGAATTTTAAATTATAAAAAAATCATGCCGGTTTGAATTACATACAAAACTATTTTCTACAGTTTTTTAATTACTGAAAATTTATGCCCAATTTTAGATGGCCAAAAATTTATGTCCAGGTTGTAAATAACTAAAAATTTCTGCCCAGGTTTAAAAAAAAAAAATATGTCTAGTTTTTGAATTACCAAAAATGTATGCCCATTTTTTTATTTATATAAAAACTTATATGTCCGGTTTTAAAATTACCAATAAATTAAAGCATACTTATAAAAACGCACTTACGTGTGGAGTCAGTAATGAAAAGCTGCTAGGAAGGCATTTATTTTATATTGAAACGATTTTTTAGTTTAATAGCTATGTACATACATAATTATACTTCCTTAATCCTACACAAAACAAAACAAAAAACCAGCGAGTTTTCAAAACAATAACTTTTTTATTATTTTTTTTCTTTATTTTCGTATCTATCATTTATATTCACCTCATTCGCGCACTTCCATTTTCATTTTCATTGCATATGCCATCCTGTTTTTTTTTTTTTTGTGTCAACATTTATGTACTTTTGTTGCGCTCTACATACTTGTATGTATATCTTTCGCTCTCTCGGCACTCTTATCATTGCACCACTTCTATTCTCAGCATACACTCCATTCACATTTGCAGGTAAAATCAATTCCAAAGATGCGAATGTGGGCGAACAAAAAGGCTATCGTGACGATATGGACTTATTGGATTCGCGACGCCAAGGCAAGGATCAAGAAATCATCAATATTATGGGTGATAAGAATTTCGAAGGTATGGCAAAGAATATAAAGTATATGTAGTATGTATGTATGTGTGTATAAGCAACTGCTAATAAACAATATTCCCCAAAATTCCCCACCAACTCCAATTGTACTTTTTTGTGTGTACATACATATTTACCAAAATGCTTGATGTATGTTGATGTTGCTAAAAATATACCGCATAGCTTCAATTTTGCTAGTAAGAGGCAGCTATGCGGATTCTCGGCATATGCAGCATATAAATAGAACATCATTCATTTTATTTTATTTATTTTTTTACTTATTCCATGCATGCTGTTGCATTTATTGTTTGAAGTGCTTGTTGACTATGGTTTACCGGCAAGTTACCCATCCTTTACCTCACCACTGCTTACCACCTTCGCATTTTCAAACCACGGCTGTTAGCGTCTACGAATGCATTGTTTTTTGTTTTTGATTTCTTTTATTGAATAGTAGTTGTTCATGCTTTTATGTATATTTTTGTATGTAGGTGTGAAGTTTTCAGAATGCTTCCAGGAACTTAAGTGTGCTCGTATTTATATTATGCTATCAAATATAAAATGTCGCAATTTCTATGTTGCATGTGTAGATATCACATTTTCTCCACTTCACGTATACTTTGTTGTTTTAGTTTAATATTATTTACAGTTGATATATTTGCCATTTTATACTTTCGCAGCTGCATTGATTGGATCAGTTTATACTTTCAATCAAAATATTTCATTTTTATTTGCCTTTTATGTATATAAGTATGAATATTAGGGAGGTCTTACAATGCAGTGTCTGAATTTTAGTGCTGTCACCCGCTATACTGGAAAAATATGCTCCTGTTTTTTTATTTCGAAATCCAAAAATATAAATATATCTTTTTTAATCTTTAGAAACTTGTTTTTTGTATTTATTGTTTTTCATTTAATTTTTTTTCTTTCTTTATTTAATTCTCCTTTAATTTTAAATGTTATTGTTTTAAAGAGAAAAATATTTTTTTTAAGTTTCATTTAATATTTAGGAAGTTATTTAATTTTTTTTTTTGCAAAACTAATTTATTTATTTTTTTAGTTTAATTTCGTTTTAATTCCTAGATTTTATTGTATTAAAAATAAAACTATGTTTTATTATGTTTTTTATTTTTAATTGTATTTAAATTCTAGAAACCTATTTTATTTCATATTTCCTTTTTTAGTTTAATTTGTTTTTCTTTTTGTGATACAATTTTCTTTAAGTTTCTATTTTTTGTAGTAAAATCTTTTTTTTTTAATTTAATTCTGAAGCACTATTTTCTTTTTTCCTTTATTTTTTCGTGGAGGTTATACATAATTCTCGAAAATCAATATTTTTGATCGGAAAACTCTGTTTCTCTTCAGGAGGCTTTTAATAAAAATATCCAATTTAAAAATATTACTATTTTTTTACTACTAATGATTTTTTATGGGTCCCCAATTGCAATTTTTTTTGCTGTTTTCGGGGGACCTATAAAAAATTTTCAATATTAAAAAATTTATAATTGAGCAATTAGATATTATTACTAGAAGTCTCCTGAAGGCAAACAGAGTTTTACGATCGAAAAATATTGATTTTCAAGTATTATGTAATATTTCTACGGAAACTTGTTTTTTCCCCATATAAAATACATGGAAACCTGTGAGCGCCTTGAGCGACCTCTAAATATTTTTTGATTTCGAAAAAAAAACAGGGCTGAATTTTTTCAGTATAGAATAATGCTAGCTTTTGAGAGCATTAAAATTCCGACTTTAATTTTTTTTTTCCACCCTAAAGTACAACATACCTATGTACATACTTTTGAGGTGATGTTGATTTTCTACACAAACAAGTAGTAGAACCTATATCCATAAATATAGTAGCTGTTAGTACATATGTGTACCTATTGTGGTGTCCTGTTTTTGTTTGTACAATTTAAATATTTTGTATGCAAATTTATTTGATTAATTTTTCATTTCCACGTTTCAAATTCATTTACTCATTTTAGGTAACTAGATATAAAAATATATTCTACATAAACTCAAACGCAAGAAGCCGCAGGGTTATGTACATACATACATTTGAATTTATGTACATATGCACACAAAGCCGTAAAGCTGACAAAAGCTTGAAGGCACAGGTGCTGAACAATTTCCATAACCAAATGGACCCAGAAACTTTGCAGCGCAATGGATACAATAAATTTCAGCTTATTTTCTTATAAATTTGAAAAAGACAACGTGTGTACTATGTGCCAGCGAGTCCAAATAGAGCTTCCACATATTCGATAACAGGGCAATTCTGGCTAAAGGCCTGTATGCAGCTCTCAAGAAAAACAAAAACTCCATATAAAATGACCTACAAGAAATGGCTAAGAAATTTTCTTGAGTCAAATTTCCTTAAGACAGTACGCAGTTCTTAAGAAATTTGCTACGCTTTCTACTACGATTTTCTAAAGTTTTTTGTGAAAAAAGAGCACAAGGCAACAGGCTGTCACAGGCTGTGAAGTATCAGATGTCAAAATTGCAAAGGAAATAATGGCAATTTTTTTCTTGACCGTTTTCTTGAGAGCTGCATACTGGCCTTAATATAGTAACAAGTCGGTCGTGGGACAAATAAAACATAGCTGGCAAGATCGTTCGAAAGACTTTTGTTATTCTAGCACAAATATCTAAGAAAAAATGCTCTCCCATTCACCACTTGTGGTAAAAAGCAATTTTGAGAGAAAGCACACGCATTTAATTTAACTAGCTTGCAGTCCTCCTCCTTTGCAGCGGCTCCTTTTTCTTTTTTTATTTAAATTTTTTCCAAGAAGAATATAGATACATATATTTATTTTAATTTAATTTAATTTAGAATTTAATTTAATTTTTAGCAACTTTTTTTTGTATTTATTTCTTGTTAAATTTTTTTTTTATTAATTTAATTTTCTTTTAATTTTAGATGTTTTTGTCTTAAAGAGAAGGATATTTTTTAAATTTCATTTAATTTTTAATAACTTAGTTTACATTATTTCTTCTTGAATACATTTTTTTTTTTAATGTTATAGTTTGATTTCGTTTTAATACTTAGGTAATTTTTAGAAACTTGTTTTATTTCATATTCCTTTTCTTAGTTTAATTTGTTTTTTCTATTTTTAATATTTTTTTTTTAATTTCTAGATTTTGTATTAAAAATATTTTTATTTTAATTTTAATTAATTTTTAAGCACTATTTTTTTATTTTTTTTATTTATTTTTTTCTTTTTCTAATTTCAATTTTATATATTATTGTTTCAAACAGAAGAACAATTTTAATTAAAAAAAAAAAATACTTTTATTTATTTTTGTTTTATTTTCAATTGATTTTGTTCTTTTTTTTAAATTAAATTTCCTTTTGTTTATTAGTTTCATTTTTTTTTTTTAAGAAAAATATATGTACACACATAGGTACTTTTTTTTAATTAATTTTTAAAAAACGTATTGCCAAAAGGCAAAAGCATAACGCTAGCACCTCCTCGTTAGCGGATCTTCAATTAGTCTTTCGAAAGACTTAATGTCTTTCAAGATAGTTGCCAAACTTGTCTTTCGAAAGACTATGGTGAGTTGAAAGATAGTTGCCAGAATTGCTTTGTAACTGCTTCCTTCATCAGCATAGCAACATCATTAAAAACACTTTCCAAGTACATATACATAACTCACAGTTCTGAATGCCAAATAAACAACTTTTTCTTGAAGTCACTGTACTTACTTAATTTGCTTATTCCTGAGAATAAATATATGATATGTATGCATATCGATGAAATGAAAAAAATATATTTATTTTGTGGAAAAATATTCATTTGGTAAGTATCCCCGGCACCTTGGCGAACCTTGGGCATAACTCCTCCAAACCTGAACCGATTTTAAGAGTGTTGGAATCAGCTGCATACAAAAAATCGCTACGATAGTCATCCTATAGTATTACTACTTCAAAATAGATCCCGCACCAAAGAAATTTGGTCGCAAAGGGGCGTTAGGGAAGCCTTTTTCTGAAATAACAGGACTGCTTTTAGGCATTTAGCATATGTAGCACGTACAGAAAGAACCGCTAGGCGATACCCTTTTCTACGATACCTATATCGGCGCAATCGGTCCATATTTGGCCGAGTTATAACGATTTTTATGCCAGATG